ACCGGTGGATGAGCACACACACGTACTACTCACACACTCACTAGTGTATCACACACACACACACGTAGTAGTAGTAGTACTAGTACACAGCACTTGAGGCTTGGAGCACACACGGTGGTACTAGAAGGAGGAAATGCCTTGTAATGAAATTGGAATGGCCTGAGTTTTACAACCGGGATGCAGCTCCTTTTATAGGTAGCTGAACCGACTAACTATATATATGAGCTTACGTCAAGCTCCTAGATTACATCACTGCTGACGACTAGCTTGCTCAGCTTTTACCATAGTAAATTACTACTACTAGTAGTTTCCTTAACTACCAAGGCATGCAGCCGCTACTACTTTTCTTGCCGACATGCAGCTGCATGTTATTTCCACCTCCTGGCTAAGTAACTGCTACTGCTGCCGCTGTAACCAAGCATGCATAGCCATGCATGCATCAAAGACAGGTTTGACTCAACAGGCACCACCACTTGCACGCCGTGGCGCAGCGGAAGAGGGCCACCATGTCCTTGACGAGGAGGAAGACCTTTCGGAGCACTTCGTCAGGGAGCGGGACCGCCATTACCGCCGCCGCCTCCTCCATCTTTCTCCGTCGATCTTGTTTTCGTTGGGTGCGGTTCTTCGATCGATCAATGGGAGGCTTGGGTAACGTGGGCCGGCCGCCGGCAGGTATATATATATACTAGGACAATGGCCCGTGCGTTGCAACGGGATAAAAATTATGTTAAAAGCTGCACCGTGCCTTGGTTCCAGAGAATTGGCTCACATGCTTTTTAATTCCACACGGAGGTACTATCTGGTAGAATTGATCAAACTGCATTGATAGTAAACAGGCCCGTGGTTGCAACGGAAGAAACATTGACACGTATTCAATTTTTTTGAGAATTGTATGTGCATCAAAATTTTGATTCCAGTTTCTGCACATGTCATATTTTGGTATTTGCTTTGCCCGCTAATTATTGTTAGGCTGGAAGTAATTTAATATGCAAGTGCATGTTAATCCAAGGGCGCTACCAATTATTATTGCATGCACATCAGGATGTAAAATCGGTGCCAGCAAAATACACCTCTGTCGGTTCTGCCCTGGTTTGGCCGGTATCTTTCCTTCCTCCTTGTTGTGGAGTGCACCCGATCTGATTCTAATAATCCTCCCCTGCTCATGTGGCTCGTTTGGTCAGCGTGGTCGCCGCGTGTGAAGTCTGGTGGCTTCGTGTGACATCCCGAGCAGTGCTTAGCGACGCGTGCACGTACTGTCTGGTGTGCTTACACGTGGTCTATTTTTATCCTTTGTAAAAGCCTGAATCTTCATCTCGTTTTCAGTTTCCCTTGCACAAAACAGTCTCCCATATACCAGGCGCCCGAGCGGCGAGAGTGCTCGCAGGAGCTCGAACCCGACCCCCCGCACGGAGATCTGAAGCAGCAGCAGGACCTCGCCGGTGAGCCAGCTCCTCTGCGGTTCTCCCTCTCCTTCTACCCTCTCTCTCATCACCCTCTCTTTTCTCTCTCGAACAGGACGCAGCAGCTGCACCACAAGTCCAAACAATGGCGCCGCCCTCATGAAACATGGAAGCAGAGGCTAACCCTTGCGGCGGCGGTGGCGTGTCTTTCCAGTGCTCCCCCTTGCGGCCTTCCCAGACTTGGTGTTCGCTTGGTGTTGGTGGACAGTCGAGGAGGACCATCTCCCGCACTGGCCTCCCCTGGACGCGCGCAGCCGGCGGCTCCGTCGGGTCCAACAGTGGTCGCGACTCACGAGGCGACTCGAGCAGCAGCTCGAACGCACACAGTGCCTCCCCGTCGGCCTGGTACGCCGCCCGAGCGGGAGGCACCAGCGGACCGGAGAGGCGAGTAGTAGCACGCCCCAGCGGCAGCACTGGGCGGCAGCAGCCTCATGCCCAGGATAGGGGCACACGGCAGGTGCGGCGCGGCTGCAATTCAGGGGCGGTAGCAGTTCTCGGCCGCATCCATGGCAGCCGCCGTGGCGTGCTCCTACTCGCGCGGCTGGTCCATGGCTGTCGGCGCATCGCAGGACAGGGACGACAGCAGTTCTAGGCCGCATCCATGGCCTAAATATGAGTAAACCAAAAGAAGCTTAGTGTTTAGCATATAATAAATATTAAATATAAAGCTAGCTTGATTTGAAAGAGGACAGTTTGTATTGAGAGTCTGAGACCCCACCTGTGCAGCTTAAATCGATAACAAAAACATCAAACAAAGTTTGCTCAGAGAAATTCCCATATTTCTTAGTTGAAGCAGTTTCGGAGCAAACTCCGTGTGCGATTCCGAAGTCTGAATGCTTGTATGGCATCTTGGTGCCAAGAAAAAGAGATGACCACTTTTTCTTCTGTTGCTTGATGTATTGTTCGCTTAGATGTAAATTCCAACTTCTGACTAATGGCGCTGAGAATTGCTTGAACTGATTGCTGACCAAAATGTGATAGTGGCTCGATGACAAAAGGGTAGTGCCATACGGTGCACATTCTTGTGGATCCATGTATATCTCCCATGAATATTTCTTTGCTTGACTGATTGTTGATATCCATGGCTGTGCCAAAAAAGGAAAATTTTAAATTAAGAAATGTGAAAATCATATACTCTACTGTGATATATATGTGCCAAAGAAGCACAAATCTTTTGCTGATCAGGCATGACAACTTTGTACTCCGTAAGTTTGACAGAGAAAGGAGTTTATTACTGTTTTATCTGTGACCATGAATACTGTGAGCGAAATGCGACACTAAAATAAGCAGATAATATTTGTTTTCCGTTCTAGTGAGCATAGAGCAGGAGTGGATCTTACTAAAATAGCATGAGCGATTTATGCTATGGCAGAAAGTAGCTAAAAGAAATACTACTAACGGAAGAATAAAAAATCCAGGAAATGGAGATATTATACCTGCAAGTGCAGGAAAAAGTGGCAAATTCAAAGAATGTACTTTCATTTAGCCAACAGATAAAATGTTTCTGTTCTCGTGAGCAAACGGCTAGAATGAACCTCATTAAAATAGCATGAGTGATTTATCCAAGGGCAAATAGTAGCTAAAAGAAATACTACTGACGGAAAATCAGAAAATAACGAAATGGAGATATTATACTTGTGAGTGCACGAAAGATTATTCCAAAGGAAATACTTTCTTTTAGCCAATCGCTCAATGCAAAAGATTAGTGCAATGGGTAAAAAGTACACACCTTGACAGAATATCTTGTTCTTGTAAATCATGTGCTCTACAAATTTCTGAAATCTGCTACTGTAATTGTACAAAAATCTTGCCACTGAAATCTGCCAGACTGTCCACATAAGTTCTTCACTTCGGTCGTAATCCAATTGATAAAAATAAGAAACTCTGCTAGTTGCATATCTTTTAAAGCAAGAAATTAATTAATAATTACACCTCTCTGTAGTCGGTAATTTCATCCGATTGGGTTTCTACACCAGTGTCTACTCATTCACAATATACAGACAAATTTAGATGGCAGAACATTGTAGATCAGAAGAAAATTTTCAGGGTAAAATCCATGTCAACAAAAAGAACAGACATAGAGCCATCATGAGATTTGGAGCCACAAAAGTAGTAAGGAAAAGGAAGAAATATGAAAAAGAGAAGGACATTTTTACTCGTTTAGTACTCACCTATCCCTGCTAAAGAGAAAGACATGAGACTGGACGGAGAAGTCAACTGAAAAAATTGACGTCAAAAAGAGAGGAGTATATCTTCTAAACTCAAATTATAGCTACAGTAAAACAATGCTCTACTTTCTCTAGCAATGGCAAAATTCAGAGATGTACATATTGAGGAGGTGTTCATGTTGGGCAGACGCGAGGCACTGGATGTCGAGGGGTACAGGGGTGTACAGCACCAGCGGTGCTGGGGGTTTGGCCACTGCTGATGAAAGTATGCCGTCTCTACTCTCAAGCACCACCAGATGGTGGTAAAACTTCAGTAGCAGAAGACACCCGACCGACAACATCTAAAGAAAAACAAATCGTTAATTCCCTCTAGTTTATTTTCCACAGGAAAACAAAAGCAATAGCATTGTAAAATAAAAGGAATTGTCAAAATTAGTAGCTTCATATGAGAAATCAAATGGGAAGACAAACGGCAGTACTCGGTAATCAAGTGGCCAGGATACACACACAGATCAGATATATTTCAGTATTCTGATCGCGGTTCATGATTTCCTCTCCGAGCAATTGATACTCACGCTCGCTCCAATACTACTGGCAATTCCGTGAATCAAATATATGCCTTCTTTCATATCAATGATCTCTGGAACCTTGACCATCTAAGGGAAGATAATTTTCTTTCATCAAAGTTATAAACAGACCCAATTTGAATGTACCTCATCAAATGAAAGGTGCATAGATGTTTAACAGCCTCAAGGTATGAAGAATCATAGAATTAAGAAGACTGCTATGTATACTATGTATTAATGTCTCATGTCTTCAGAAATCTGTATCTACTTTTCAGTAGGAAAATTAGCTACTTCCAGACTTATGTGCTCGACTTGATAACTTATAAACACTCTCGGCCATTAACCTATTTCACGGACTTCAGCACAATACTTGTATAAAATTTATAGAAATTCTGTTCAAAAAATGTTAAGCTAAGTCGGCAATGCATATATTACCCACATCTTATTCTTCGACCAAAAGAAGGTAACAAACTCCTATAATTATAGATGAAAAATATGTTATGAGCACCATAAAGATAAAAATTATCAAATGACAAGGGAAGCGTAGTTTTGCACAAGTTATCATTCATGCACCTGAAAGATCCACACAAAATAGAGCTAATAAAGGATTGAGTCAGTAATATCACCATCATCTCAAGCTTCTTCCACTATCTTCGTCCTTCCCACCTCCTCGCGAGCAAACCCACTGCCCCGACCAAATCCATCTCATGTCTTCATCGACCTCACAACCAAAGTACCAATCATCAAAAATCGAATCACCACTCTAGCTGGATGCTATAAATCCCGTTTTCCATTTCAATTGAGCTCTACAATGCTGAAATTTCTAAATCCACATGCTTTCCTTTTTCTGCATTTCCACTGTCTTCGTGAAAGTGAAACTGACTTTGTGAAACCAGACATGTCCTCCACAAACCCAAGGAAGCTCTAAGTATGTTGGTGACCTGTTTATCATTCAGCTTCTTAGAGTACCTTTGCCCTTCAACAATGTTGCATGCCTGCAGTCAGTTTGTAGAATACACTAAACATCCGATGTCTAATTGAAAAAATTCTGTTATTCACCTAGACATTAAAAAAAATCGCAAGTCACTCTGATCCATTCTGTGTTATTTACTGCACTACAATTTATTCACCAACAAAATAAAGACCAAGAAGCAATGAATCTGGAGATTCCAAAGACCAAGAAGCATCCGGAATAGATGGGTCAAATTTCAGGGGCTTCTATCTACTAAATTCAAAGTATAAATTCAGAAACAATAAACTGAAACAAGAGCCATCAGAAGTAGCACCAATTCAGAAACAATAAACTGAAATAGGGGCTTCTATTTCTATCAACTGATTAGCTTTCAAGGGGATACATACCTCTGGTGTAGCCACCGCAGGCGACATTGAACGGCTCAATGGATGTGCTTCTTCTGCCGGCAAACTTGGCGGAGGTAACATTGGAAGTTTCTTCGAAACTCACAATGATTCATCACACAAAAAAAGTAGCATAGCAGCCATGTAGATATCATATATATCTCTGTTAAGAAGAAATAAGGAATATTACAAAGCTTAAGAGGAAACTCGCCTCTGCCACTTTTGGGTTTACACAAGTGTAATCCACTCGCTCACTAAGAACTTGCATGGCATTTCTAGTGTAACTATTTTATGAGCTTACAAATAAAAGCACAAAAATGAAAATAGCACATCATATATACACTGTTTGTGTTTGGAAGGATATCAATTAAATAAAAATAGATCTGTTAATGGACTTGTTTGTGTAGTAGCAGAATTTTGTTCAAAATAAAACTGGACTTGTGCTAATGGGAGAGACAGAGAGTAGATGGGGGTTGCTTGACCTATCTTGGTGTAGCAGAGGCGTCATCCGAGGAGGTGCTTATGGCTAGGGTTCCTCCCTGTTGACCTGCATGGGAAGGGAAGGAAACGAGATGAGGAAGGGACGGGAAGGGGAGGGGAGGGGATGTGGACAAGATAGAACCTTGGAGCTGCAGGTCCATGGCGTCCTCCACATCTCTGTGAAGAAGCCCTTGATGGCGGCGACCATGGTGGATGGGGAATTCCCATGGCGTGCTCCATCTGCATCTGCAGCAGAGGACATGAAGAGAATGTGAGGTGTAGGGGTGGTGGATCCCAGCCAAGAAGGAAGGAGGGACGAACCTGGGCCGCCGGAGACGCGTCGGCGAAGCCCTGCCCGAAACCCTAGCCATGGGGGTGGCGTTTCGAGCGGGCGGTAGAGGCCGGGAGCGGAGAATCTGGCCGGAGGGTAGGGAGGAGCGGACTCTGGGGAGTTGGGGGGCGTGCTGCGCGGCGTCGGAGCTCGCCGGAAGCTGCCGGCGTGGGTGGTGGCGGCGGCGGCGAGGACTTGAGCGAGAGGGAGAGGAGGCGAGCCCGTTCTCCTCCTTTGGTCGTGTTTTTTTCTTTACCCAAATTTGCTCGGACCGCGGGTTGAATAATCCAAACGACAGGGTGTTTTGTGCAAAAACGAATCGTTTTCCCCGATCCACTTAAACAGGGACTGCGGGTTGAATTCTTGAAAATAGAGGGGCTTTTTTGCAAAAGTGACGACGACGTACGACCAGAAGCACTCCGTGCTTTATTAGTAAAATAGGGAAAGATATGCACAATCGATTGGAGTTGGATCCGGATACAAACTGGTCGCTTGATTGGAAAGTTTTTCTAACACGACCTATCGGAACCGACTCCAAACCGCACGTACTACACTGAGCAATACTGGCTCGAGCTGCAGTTTCAAGGTCAAATGTTCTCTTGTTTATTTATTTTTGAAAAGGAGCTATTTACTACTATATGAAAACAGAAAGTTTGGATGGCCTAGGTGACTCGAGAATTTACACTCCCCCATGGTCGACTAGCACTACTGGAATTCTGATGTACACCGGGTGTCATGCTCTTCGCTGAGTGCTAAAACACAGACACTCTGAAAAGAAAACAACGCCGAGAGTCACTCTCGGCAAACCTAGCTTCACGGCAAACTGCCTTCTTTGCCGTCACTGCCTCACGGCAAAGAGGCACCGCACGGCAAACCCTACAGACGCCGAGAGCAACTCACGGCAAAGAGGAGCCACGTGGCATGCCCGTCCGTAACAGACGGCTCCGTCAGTTAGTGTGTACATCACCGAGAGCCGACAAACGACACTCGGCAAAGTATATGCCACATCCTATTTTCTTTTTTGTGCGTGTTCTTTCTAACTGACATGTGGTCCCACTGGTCACATTTCTCTACTATCTAAAAGAAACGTAGTGTTTCGTTTCCCCCCTTACGTTCCGCGCTTCGTCCAGCCTCTCGTACGATCCCCTCACCCCCCGATTTTCTTTCCCCCGTCCCAGTCCCACCTCTCTTAGGACCCATTCGATTTTCTTTCCCCCATCCCGGTTTTCTCCCTCTGGCCTGCTCCTCACGCCGGCGTTCCGCGCCGCCGCTGCCGACTGCTCCTCACGCCGGCATCCCGCGCCGCCGTTGCCGACCTCCAGCCGTCGTCCAGTAACCGCTCCCACGCGCCCTATCTCTCTTCTTCTCCCTTCTCCCTTCCTTTTTTCTCTCTCTCTCTCTCTCAAATCTTGTATCTCTCTATTTCAGAAACAACGGCAGCATGGATCCTGATGTGGAGCTCCACTACGGCTCGATCTGACCTGGGAGCGACCAGATCCGTGCGTCTCCGCCTCGCTTCACGCGCCTCCATGGTCCGCCGTCTTCCCGAGCGCCGGCGCCGCGCTCAGCCGCCGCCGTCCCATGCCATGGTAGCCTCCCCTCCAGAACGATGTGTCATGGCCGCCTCCCTGCCTCTCCCGCAGGTGGGCCTCTGCGCCCCCGGCCTAGCAGATTAATGGAGGGCGCTGCCGATGTCGGTTCATGCCTCGGTGCTCCTCACCGGCGGAATTTGCCAGCTAATCTATTCCTATCATGATCTTTTCTGTTTTGATGTAGAGTTAACTCCCACCCGTACATGAGCCTCAAGGCACCACGCGATTCTGATGATACACGAACACTGGGTCGGTCCTCTATCCGGCAGCTCCGTTGGGGAAGCACCAAGGTAAAAAACTGATATTTGATAGTAGAGATTATAGTATGTACCTTTCTGAAACTGATATTTGATATATTTATGTATCAGATCCAAACTCCAAGTATCCGTGGATATAGGGAACAGTTATGGTACAAATAGACTTGATTGTACTGACAATTTTCAGCTTGCACATGGATCCCTTATAGTATGCAATCAAGCTTGATGATAAATTCTTGGAGAGACGCTAGGTGCCAGGTAAGGTGACCCAAGACTATTGCTTTCAGTTATTCAATG